TATANATATATAATATATATATATATATATATATATATATATATATATATATATATATATATATATATATATATATATATATATATATTGAGATATCGTATGCGGAACCATAATTTATTCTGGAATTATACGATTTAGTGCGACATCACAAATCCAGAATCGTATGAGTACTTCCATTGGAGCACAGTGAAAAATGGCGGACAATGCATGAGAAACTATAAGGTGTAAAAAAACACACACTAAAAATGGTAAATATCTCTATGATAGTGCACATAAATACACGCGTTATTTGCGTAAACACATTGTAGACACATACAAACCACACACATGCGCTTTGGAGACACATACTGTACACACACAGAAGCTTTTAGCGAAATCTTGTGTAAATAATATTTTTCGGAAGTGCACAAGTAGTACACACACACTTACATATTTGCCGTGGATATTTGAAAGAGCGTCACTGGCATTTGAGCATCACACATTCTCAAAGCAATATAAAAAGATCCAGGAAACAAAATCAATTACAAGACCAAATAGACACAACACCTTTGCAGTGCTAATTATAATAATTAAATAATACATTGTTCACTAAAACTTATAAATGAATGATATTCTGAGTGTTACAAATAAAATGCTAAATGCAATACATATCCGATAGTGATAGAAATTTGAAAAAGTATAAGTATTGAAATATTGTTGTTTTTCGGTGAGGAAATTGTAAATGCCGGTAAACTGCTGTCATTGGTTAATGAAACTAATATGGCATTTTTATGAATCGTATATTACTTCGTACTACTTTTCAATAATATCAAGATATATTGCTAATATTTTTTTGGAGAAAAATTCCCACTGCGAGGATCGAACTCGCGGACTTTCGCTTAGAAGGCGAACGCCTTACCACTGGGCCAAGCGGGGCATGCCACATCTATCTACGTTTTGTATATATATCATACATATATTATATACTTTTTGTTGATGTTTATTCGAAAGAAACTGGGTTTTGGACCCAGAGTTTACACTAAAATCTACTGTAATTGCATTTGTAGACCAATGTTTCTTTGGGACATACGAATGACTCCAAAGTTATACCATAGTTATACCAGAGATTTGTGAAGAACTTTCACCCCCCAAAAAAAAAACTCTGACCCACTTCCAGACACGTATTACCCCCAGAATTGGCATGGTAATTACCTCCGGATTTGTACAAAATTTGTCTAATTGTTTTTATGGACAATTGTGAAATGGTCTAATACCAATATTTGATGCCCAAAAATTCGTTTGATCCAGTCAATCAATTTTAAACTCGGTTCAATTTCCGGTTCATCAGAGTATTCACTCTACGCTAGTCCCTCGTTATGAATATGTATGCCCCCATTCGTGTCTCATATTCAGTCGAATGCTATGAATTGTTTAAAGATCTGCTATTAGGGCCTGTAAAAACTTGTCGTTCCCCCGGACTTTTCCTTGAAATTCGAATGCCTTGCGACGGGGTCACACGGGGTGTGTGCAAATATTACAAATTTTCTATCAATGTGTCTTTCTAGATTCATCGCCTTCTACCGTGAACAAATGGATACTGTTTCCTACCAATTTTTGAACGAGTAGCATGATAGAGTTTCACGACTCGGAGTGAGGGATACAGTTGATGGATTTTTATTTCGATTGTTGACGTCTTGTACTTGGCCAAGCGGATATGATCGAGCTTCACAAGGTTTAGCTAGTATTTGGAAAAGATAATTGCTAACCCGTTCACAACTTTAAGTGCGCATCGTTGATATACTGCCGATTATCGACAACTAGTGAGCTAGAAACGAGTTCTGATGGTAGAATTGCGCGCTTAAGAACGAGGGGCATAACTCTTAGTGATTCTTTTTTAAAATGGCAAACGCCTCGCAAATAACTCTAACGGGACAAATTCAATTCTCAAAGGTGAAAATTAGTATTTTGGAAGGACATCTTGTTTTCACTTAGTAGCTGGCGACCACGTTCACAATTTATAGGCGCTCGTCACCTCCAACGAATACCTTTTTATATATTCAGTTGCGGGTCGTAAAATATCTAGTTCCGCAGGATTAAAATCGGCCCTGATCCGAGGCAATCACATCCACGATGGGTTCTCATCGTCACACGGAACACGATGTTTATCAGCCCATAGAAGCTGTAAATGATGAAATTTCTCTCGTGGTTGCTATTGTATCACCTATAAGATCAACAATATTCTTCTACTCCAAAAAAAAAAGTAGTCTTCAGAGTGCAGCGAGTGCGTGTTATGTGCTCTAAAGTGGGGAAGGCAAAAATCTGCGTACTGAATATGATGCCTCAGTAGTTAAGCTATATCTGGTCCTGGAAATCGCAACACGCGGTACAGTCCAACCTTGATTGTAGGTTGAAAATAATATAAAAGTGAGAGACTACAGGTCACAGACCAGATTTTACAGCAAGAAACCCTCTTTGATCCATCGAAGTCATCAGAGTTCGTTTACTCCCGAGAGCAAATCAAGTTGCTTAGGTTGCTCCCGAGAGTTGAGTTAATGCTTAACCGACTCCCGAGAGCAAATTAGGTTTCCCAACCGATTCCCGAGAGTGGATTGAGTCTGTCAACCGCAACATCCTATAACATAGCTGTCTTCCTATGTGAGTCACAATCTAGGCGAAAGGCATCACGTGATCAGCGTGAGATTAAATAGCAGAGAAGTCGAAATAGCATCGTAGTTTTGAATTGTTCTGCATAATTTTCTCATACAGACCATATGAGTTTTTACCCTGGCCAGCCCATGCGGCTGGACTCTAGCACAAACACCTTAGATAAAAACCAAAGGTGAGGTCAGAAATAAACACATACATTTGCACTTTATTAAAGTCTACTACTGTATTGGACTCTAACAAGTAGAAGTCTACTGGAGTTCTACGCAAGTTGTCAATCATTGATATATTGCAGTCTTCCCCATCAGTTAAATCTTTCCAAAGCTGTTTGAAAGTACGTGTATTTTTTAGTGCTGTGCGCGACACCTCCGTTTCTGTCTGTCGTAGCAGCTCTTCACGAGTGAGAGATACTGTACCAATGGCATGTTGGTGCTCGCAAACAAGTCTTTTGCTACGGATACAAACTCAATTGTATCACGAAAACCAGTCATTCCAACATACTTTCTGGCTGGCCACTTGGTGTTAACTCGCTCAGAAAGCCACTGATCTCAATGCACTCATCGTGATCACTTTTATCACAGTTCTTCGTAGCCTTATTGTAAATCTCTTATAGCCATTGGCCTACGTTTGGTATCAATCTGACAAGTTGTTGATAGTGAACTGCTCTTCTAAGTTTGTGATATGCTCGTATGCCAATTGGCTCGTCCGCTTTCTGTGCGTACAGCTTGTTCACCAGTATGCCTATGGTGTATGCGTTGCTCTCGCATATTCTCTTGTCAATAAACACTGTAAACTTACGAATAGCTGGGTCTAATGGTGTTGTTGCTGGTGTGGGCTGGTCATTCAGTTGCATCGTTTCTCCTTCATTGTTTGGAGTGGAGTTGCTCGGGGATGCTTGGGAAAATGACATTGTGTTCGTTTCTACTAGCCGGGACTTGACGGCACGACGTGTGCTTTCTCGCGTGTGTGTGCGTGGACTCCTTCTTATTGCTCTTGTCCTTTGATATGGAGCAGGAGTCATTGACTAATATGTGTGTTCAGTGTTCAATTTAGTGTTAGAGCTCATTGTGTATTATCTACACTTGATAAATTTAACTGTTTCATTTTTCAACATAGATGTCTATACCGCTTATATGTACACGTGTCGTGTCATGTGCGGTTGTTTACCGTTATGTTGACCTCCGTTATAGTGTTTATGCAGCATGTGATTGCAGTTCTGTGGACTTGGTTGGCTCGCACTGGCAATCTCTTTGATACCTGGGTTTATGTGGAGGGTTTTTAGTTTGAGTTGATAAACCTCGGTTTATCTTGGTTTATCTGGCGACTTTGTTGTAAAATTTGTGTACTGCCTTGTCCTGTTTAGTTTATGGTTTTTTCAATATGCCTCATATGTAGTATCGAGATTTTGTGCGTTTAAAGTTGTTTTACTTCTCTCTACGATTCTTCGTCGTGTTATGGTACCGAACTGTTGTCAGTTTTGTGTTTATAAAATATATATTGTGTATACTTTTATTTATTATATGTGCTGTATGTGCATACACATGTTTCTTGAACTGCTCCGTTCATGTACCTTCTTATGCTGTGTATGTCCTTGCCCTTTTGTTCGGCTAAGGCGCCTTGGTTCTGTTATGATGTTCTGTTCTGAAATATATATTGTAGACTATGTGCCTCAATGCTTGTGCCCCTGAGTTTCGCCTATAACATTGATATTGCTGTCTGTACACTGATATTCGTTCACGTAAAGTATATTGTTTGTACTTGTATGTATGGATCATCGCTGGACAGTGACTGTCCTGCATTGAATTGCAGTTATGCATGTGTGTTTGTCCTTCCATTTGAATATGTTCAAGTGAATTTTGAAATTGACATTCATGGATTTTGGACTCAAGATTGTGTGTTTTGTCTTTCGGCGTAGAGCTTGTAAAGTGGATTTCAATACACGTTACTTGATTATCCTAGTCAATGGATTGGTACCATGTACTTCCTTCTGGTTTATATATGATCTGATGGTATTGTACTCGATTTATCTCTCTGTGTCCATGTCGTGGCCCTGACTCATAAGTGTTTGTGTGCTCTTGTTTGATCACTAGTGTCTCTGACTCACAAGTGTTTGTGTGGCCTTATTTAATCACTGGATTTTTACATGTGTTTGTATTCTACCTTCTGTATGATCTTGGAGTTCTA